TCTTAAATGACAACATTACCAAAACTCAGAAACTGTTCTCCTGGAACCTTATCTAAAACGATATTAATTTGTAAGAATTCTCCCTCTGTAGTGCAAGAACGAAGTAATATTAAATGGATTGCTGTTAGGCCAAAACTGGCTAAAAGGAAGAGCTGGGAATAAGGAATGGATTTTTTTTCCCACTTGATTTCCAGTAAACTGACAGTTGACTGAAACTCCACATTTTCCCTCATCAAGTTTTAAAGTCTGCATGCTGGATACAAACTTGTCACACACTCCTTGCAGACCAATTTACTGAAACACATGGATCAGACATTAGTGATTTCTTCATGGTTATCAAACTCTGCCGTTTTACAGAAAGTCCAAAAGCTACGTAACCTGTCCTGTGATTTACTGGAGTTCAGGTTTGAACTGTACCAAGAGCTTCTCTCCGTCTTAGCTGCAGAATTTATTTCTTCCAAAGTCTTAGAAATGGTTCAGACTCAAAATGACATTCAAAAGCTGAACAGAAATGGACAAAGAACACTTGATTTCTTAATATGGGGACACACCCAGCAGGACAGAGTTCGGTTCCTTTGTTAAATCTGTGTGTTGTCTTGTTTTAGAGATTGGACTCGCAAATTAGAAGCCGAGTTTAACCTTTAGAGTGTGCAGCTGCCTCTTGGAAGTGGTGGTGTTCTTGTAGAGAATGGGTGCTTTGGGATGGTCTTTCCAGATTTACCCTGGCATACGCACGGTGCCCACAAACCTTGGGATTGCTCTGGAAGCATTGTGCATGAGTCTAAAAACATGTGAGCATCCTTCTTCAGGAACCAGTAACAAAATTCTGAACAGCTGGAGAAGGAAAAATCTGTACTGTGTTTCAAGTTGGTGCTTGCCCTGAAGCTTCTGCATGGACTGAGCTGTGTCAGCAAGTGCACTTGAATTTTTGGAAATGAATCACTCGCAGCAAAGCTGTTCACACAAGTTGTATTGTACATACTGGGACTATTAATATTCCTGTTTGCATTTCTGTCCAGTTTTTTTACATTTCCTTTTATAATCCTTCTATACCATGTCATAAATTGAATACTAAATTTAAAAGAATCAAGTGGAGCATCACATGATAGCTCTTTTCTCTCCTCAAGACTTAGAGCTCAGCTTAAAGACTGGCAAGAACGTCTGAGCTTTAGCAGGACAACTGTCTGTATAGTGGGAATGTAAGCTGATAACGAATGTAAATGTGTTTTTAAGCTTGCCACAAAACCCCAAATGAGAGGCAGAGAGAGATTATGAAAATCCCGGAGTGTTCCTTCTTTTTCCAACTCACCTTTCCTTACAGCAGCTCTTTTTCTTATTTGTCTTAGTCTGAAATAGTCCGTTGAAAACAGGAGTTGGAGGTTAAGTGTGCGGTGCTTCCTCCTGCCATTTAAAAGAGCAAAAGAGCAATTTACAAATGCAGACCACTTTCCAACCCAGCCTTGCCACGTTAAGGAGGAGCACTCAGTGTTTGCTGCAGGTTATTGGAGCCTTAGTGCCAGTAACCCCCATCCAATGTGACTGACTTTCCTGCTTAAAAGAGTGCTGAAATTCAGCCAAACTTTGGGTATCTGTAATTGTCAGGGAAAGAAGGAATAAAAACATGGCATGAGAAGGACTTCAGCTTTCTCCTTGCTAGAACCTCGATGTTGATCTCTCTCTGTCTCTCTCTGTTGTCTTCTGTGCAGCTGCATCTGTTGCTGCACAACATGAATGGCTGTGCAGATGCCACCTCATGCCTTCAAATAAGAAAAACGGAACTGGGGTTAACACTGCGCTAGTGCAGAACCTGTAGAATAAAGTGGCCATGCCTCTTTCTAAACCTGGTACTGCCAATTGTGGAGAAGGTCATGTGAGCACTGTTACTAACTTACGCAGCTTCTTCCAAGTAATTTACAGTGAGAGCAAAGTTCTGAAGGACTTTTTCAAGCCCATCCAGTTGGTACTGTTTGATTGTATTAAAAATCTTTATCGTATGTGTCAAAATTCTACTTTTCTGTAGGAGTTAAAGAAACTTACACTGCCTCCACAGACACTGCGTCATCAAGGGAACAATCAGACGACTTCATGTGAGTAAAATAACAACTCTCTTGCCACTCATCAAAGCAGGTAAAAACTCACCTATGAAAACTCTTGTATAGCTAAAAAAAGTCAGATGTGACCAACATGCAGTGCTGGAATAAGGACTAGTTTCTTTCACTCACCTAGCTGCCTCATTGAAATACCTTCAAGTTTTAAACTGTGAGGTTGTCCCACAGTTATTGCAGGATAAAGAAGTGTCAAAAAGAATTTCTCATGTACTTCAGAAGAAGACTTTAAACATTTAATTTCAGTCTTCTTCAAGCAGACAAAAAGGGTATATGAACCTGCAGTGTTTTGTATTTAGATGTGAGGCAATGCAGGAGGAAAGCTGAATGCTAAAGTACTGAATGTGTAAATTTGAACCTCTTTCCTGTGTTTGGAGTGCTTAGTGTATCTAAGCTGGAGAGGTGGGGAGGGGAGACTGCAAGCTGTAAAGTCCGCCCTTCCAAAGCCCCTTTATGAGCTAACAGGAGTTAACCATGGAAGATATTTCAAACTAACTTGAAGCTACAGCAAAATGTCCAATTTCACCATAGAATTGCAGACCAGAGATCTAGAGAAAATAGAAAAGCCTCAATTTGCAGACATGTAAAACTGGCACAGTGTAGATGTGTAGAGACATTTGGAAATCTAGTTACAGCCCAGCTCACTGTCAGAACTGAAAAAGATTTTTCTTCACCTCTTAGGACAGGTTTGTAAGTTCCGGATACAACTGTACTTCTAGACCTGAAGTAGTTTCTGAAGGGCTCGACCTTTTTCACTCTTTTTATAGCTGTGGACCCTTGCAACTCAATGACCCAGGTTCTACCCAGGATAAAGTTACAGTAGGTGGAACAAGCAATAACAATGAGGTGACCAGAGAGTGCCTGACCCAGGCAGAAAAGGAGCCATGCAATCAAAATACAAAGGTCATTAGACCTCATGGACGACTTTTAGGTATGGCTGGATTTCATTTATTACTGAATGTCTGTAGGTTTTTAAACTCATGTCCAGCCTCTCATCCAGCATCACCTCCAAGTCCTTCTTGGCAGGGCTTCTTTCAGTCCCTTCCTCCCCCAGCCTGGATTGATTCCAGGGGTTGCCCCGACCCAGGTGCAGCGCTTTGCAGTTGGCCTTGTTGAACCTGATGAGGTTCCCAGGAGCCACTTCTCAAAGCTCGTCCAGGTCTCCCTGGATGGCATCCCAGCCCTCTGGTTTAGGCAGACTTGCCAAGGGTGCACTTAATCTCACTGTCTATGTTGTTCTTGACATAGCTCAGTGCTTGAGCTTACAGACTGGAAAAATAATAAAAGCACCATCAATAGAAAGAATCTATATAAAGAACCTTTGCTCCAGTATCACTCATGTACCAGTGTTTTTAATGACTATTTGTTTGTTAATGCCCAACTCGGTGCATCTTCACTATCTGGCTTCTTACAGATCTGTAAATGCTGAAAAAATACAGGTTTATCAGTCCTGGTAAATACTTTTAAGCCAACTTCCTTGCCTTCTCCCAACCTCCCATATGACACATTTTTTTTTCCCCACTTATTTTAGGAAGAAAAGCAGACGTCAGAAGAGTCCCACAAAGCACTCCAGATGCCATGCCTGAGAGAAAAAGAGCAACACCCATGAACCCTGAAAATGTCCACTGCAGTCGTTGCAATGCTGTGTATCGCAGACCATTCAGGGACAGGGTGATTCACTTGCTGGCTCTGAGGAATTACAAGAAGCCAGAGTTACTTGATCGCTTGCTGAGAGATGGAATAATGCAAAAGGACAGGGGTACCCTTGGAAAGATCCTTCAGCGGGTGAGATCCTGCAGTTTATGCCAGCAATTTTTCCCTCTTGCTATTCTTTTATTCCTGATTTCTACCTGTGTCATGTTTAAATTAGA